CCCCAAAACCCCAAAACCCCAAAACCCCAAAATCTTAAAAGCTCTTGCTAATGTATATTCTAAATATTGCTCAGGGCTTCAGCCATGTAACCCAAATTATATATCCTTAGGCCAGTTTCGTACGAGAAGTTTATATTAATGCTTAGCTTACTAAGCTAGCTTCCTTCATCTTCTCTTCATCAGCTAGGAGTCTGGCTGACCTGCCCTCAATCTTGACTTGCAAATCATACTTTGCTAAGGGTCAAACACTCACACTACAGGATTAGAATAGGTAGTTAGGGTTTAATATGCTGAAGGGGCTAGATCAGCTGGAATAGATCCACAGAGAGAGGTTTCAGGCATGATCATAACTCTATCCAGCCCTACCCTACTCTATACCAAGAAGCTCTAAAAGGGAATCATACAAGTTTTAGATCATCGAAATTCACCAATATATAACGGACTCTTCTCATCTTCATGATCAAACTGTTGTTCTGAGTTACCTTGAGTCTATTATAACTCTACCACTCGCTCTTTCAGAACTGTTCCATAAATTTACTGAACAATTATGATTATCCACTAAAAAATCCGTGCCAATTTCTAAAAAAGTAAAGGGATCATTTCATATTCTACAAACTTAATATTAAACCAAAATCTACAAGTTTAAAACCTTAATCTCAGGGGTAAATATTCAAGTGCTTTATACGCAGTTTACTTATCCCAGAAGATATCAGAGAAAGTATATGCTATCTTAGTTGAGCCACAGGAGTCCTATAGATCTTTGGATGGCCTAAACTCTTTAACATAGAAATGGCAGCACCATTGTTATTGATAAGAATTATGATAGTAAAAATGAAACCTTGGAGTTGTCTATCTCAATATTTAGAAACATATGTATAAAGATAGTGTAACACACCAATTGGTCAATCCAAACCTCTGGTTTATCCTCTTTGGTAATATCTCCGTATATAGCTGTAACAGATAGAAATAAAGAGAGTGTTGGGCAGACATACTTCAGACAGAAAATGTATAGCTTTGGAGTTGTCTCTCCGAATTTCTTGACTTTATCAACTAAGTCCTCAATAGGGAGGAAGTATGCAAACAAAACCCCCTGAATAAAGGAGAAAGCAACCATATTTATATTTGCTGAGTAATGATCAACATATTCCACCCAGTAATAGCCAGTGCTTGAGGAAAAGAAGACCAGATTGAGAATAAGGATGATGAGACAGACAATAAAAGTCATTACTATCTTCTTCCATTTGTAATTCTTTCTTCTACTACAAATTCCATGGAAAGTTTCACTTCAAACTTCAATAAGTACATATTCAGTTCCAAAGCCCAGCATTGTCATCATGGTGAAGAACAGAATGCTCCAAAGATGGGGCCAAGGTAAAGTATTGATCAGAGCTGGATACACCACAAAGGTCAGTTCCATTCCTTGCACTTTCATATCATCAATTGGGATTCCTGAAGTATAAGATGCATGTCCGATGAATGAGAACAAAGCAAGGGAGGCAAACAAAGAAGTTCCAAAGTTTAAACATGGCAACAACACTGCAGTGCTCAACAAAGGCTTATCATCCTTTCTATGTGATGCTAGCTTAATAACAGAGTTTTGAGCAAGTCCTGCTGAGTAAAAGCCTGCCCAGCTGCATCACTCCAGATCGACAGAGTTCATAGTTTTGACCAATCAGGCTTGTACAGGTAGGCCCAACCGCTAGAGAATCCTTCGAGAGTAATTCCTTTGACGAACATAACTCCCAGGATGAAGTAAGGCAAAGGCACGATAACATAGGACAAATATTTAGCTGAGTGGATGCCTCTGTATAGACTAAAGAACACAAAGGCTACCATAATGATAGAAGAAAACATGATCGTTGGGTTGTACGAACGGATGTCAAACATACTGTCTGATTTATCCAAGAACTCTTTTATGAAGTAGTCACTTGAAAACTCAGAGATATTCCCATCCTCATCTAGCTTAGGAGCCCATGGAAGCGGGTCTTGGAAGGAGTTTATCAGGAATGAAAAGCACCAGCTTATTAAGCATAGTTGGAATAGAGCGAAGAAGAAGTTTATCATAGCCACAGTGATCGACAACCCTGTCAGTTTTGGGTGGATGCTGTCATAATATCTATGAAGAGCCTTCTTGTACATCTGTCCAAAAGCCACTTCCATGTAGTAAAATGGGAAGATCAGAAAGAACAAGCAAAATAAGTACGGGACAAAGAAGGCTCCTCCCCCGTGTTTATAAAGCATGTATGGGAATCTCCAAATATTGCCATATCCCACTGCAGAGCCTAATGCTGTCAGTAAGAACTGGATCTGGTTGTTAAATGTTCCTTTGGCCTTATCATTATCATTAGTCTTAACACTGACTTCAAAGCTTTGGATTTCACTACAATTTTCACTTGAAGTGTTTCTAAATTCTCCATTTCTCTCCATTTTTTACAATTTATTCTCTCCAATAATATTTTGCACCTTTGGGGTTTTGGGGTTTTGGGGTTTTGGGGTTTTGGGG